AAGACGACGGGACTGGACACGGAGGGAACACGGACAAGGGCTTGGCCGCCTGTCCCGTCCCAGCCCGCGCCGCCGGGGCCCTTAGGGCTCCGCGGTGGCTGGAGCCGCTGCCGCCCGCCCGTGTGGGGTTACGGGCACCGGCCGCGTTTGGGGTCCTGGTGCTCAGAGCGCTGCTGGCAGATCCACGGCGGAGACGGTGTGAGCAGCTGCTGTGGTCCCTGAAGCCTAAGTTGCCCCAGATAAGAGTTTCCCAGCCCAGCGAGCCCGCTCCCTGCTCTTCCTGCCAACTAAAAAAAATTCAACACTGTTTCTCCGCAGGTAATAAAGCATAACGATTCTGCCACTTACTTTTATTTATCGTCCATTCCCAGAAAGAACAGTGCTACTCTGAGCAACACTCGTCCCTCATCAACAAGGCCTACCAGACCCTGCTGAACCCCCTGAGCCGAGGCCTCTATCTCGTAAGGCGTCCGTCACCCCTTCGGTCAGGGCTCTGTGACAGGGCTGGGGCTGTCAGGCCTTTGACTCCATCACTGACACGCTCATGTTCCTCTGCAGAAGAGAATTCCCAGGCACTGAAGGGAGAGCAAAACCAAGCTTGGCTGAAAATTAATCAGCTTTTCCACTAAACACTTTACTGATTATTGCCATCTCATTTGCTGCTCAGGTTATACTGATTTGTTGCCTGCAGCACACACCCTGTCTGTCCCCTGGCAGTCTTTGTGACACTTTTCTGCTCTGGTTAACTTCTCATCTTTATGATCTACCTGTGGAGCTCACTTTAAGATGTTACTCTGTTTATGCACATTTCATGGAACTGGAAGTTTTCCATTCCATAAAACTGGAAGTTTTATCAGATAGTCAAGAAAGCAATTCACATTTTAAAAGATGTAAGAATGTGTATTTCCAAATTCCCATTCTCTTCACCAGCTGGAGCTGAACGGAGTAGAGCCAGCACAAGAGACAGACTGTGATGCAGACCCAGTGTTTCTCACAGAAATCATGGAAATTAATGAGAAATTAGCAGACCCTAAAAATGAGGGTACCCTTGAAGAAATTGAAACTTTAATTAAAGGTAGGTTATGACTTCAGGGTTTTGGACAGAAATAAGTTACTGTATCTCACGTAATATGAGTCCTTCTGAAGACTCTTAACTTTTTCAGTCTATTTCTTGTAGTATCTCTAACTTGCATTACTCTTGAACTGACTCACTGCAAGAGCCTGCTCCTGCCCAAATGCTGTCTTTACCAATTTATGCCACCTAAACATCAAATCTGGCTTGAGAAACTCTGTATAAACAGTTGCTGTTCTGAAAGCAAAAATGGGTATTTATATTAACTGTAAAAAGGAACTTACTGACCCTTCAGCAGATCAGGGCAAGTAGACTGTTCTCAAAGAGCGAGCCACTCAAAGTTGAATAAAATGTTTGGCTGACCACATTAAATAATTTAATTTATACAGACATTGTATTTCTTGCACCTTCTTCAGCTTAGCAACCATTACGTGATTACTATCCCTATACAAGCAGCCTTCTTGTTTGTATTGTTGGTTTACTGAGTTTACATTTAGTTTACTGGTATAAATTATTTGCAGTAACAGCGGTGTGCCAAAAGCAATTAGAATAACTGGAATAAAAACTAAGTAGAACAGAAGGAAATTACCTGCAGCAGGGTGAACACTAAAATTAAGTTAGATTTCTGGGAAGTTAGTGACCATTTATTTGCATTGGAATTGCTGTCTGTAAACCTGTCTAAATGAAGAAATCTCTCTGAAACTGTAATTTTAAAAAATTGACAACATTACTATGGAAAGTTCTCACAGCTCCTAGAAGATCGAGATGTACTTGAGTTTCTCACCACAGACAATCAGAATGCAGTGGTATTGACTACACTAAGTATGTAACAAAAAGTGAATGGAATAATTTGTTTTACAGTTAAACAGGAAGAACTGACCAGAGAGGTGACTGCAGCTTTTGAAAGAGGTAGCTGTTTCTATTCAATGCTTAGCTGCCACACACAGCAGTTATAAATGCTTCAAAACCCCACATTCTTTTATTGACAAATGTTTCCTGATCTTCAGGACAGAAATACTGCATGAACAAGTGTTCTTTGTTTGGTACTTACAACAAATACTTCTAAGCTGCCCTTTCTGCTGATTCAGGCAATTCAGGACCTCACATTAAAAAAAATCCAGTACGGAAGTTCCAGTTAATTCAGTTTGCATCAAAATGATCGCTTCCAGTGGGAATGCAGATGCTAAGAAATTTTTTGTTTGTTTCCCAGACCACTGCTTAATCAAACTTGCCACCTGTCCTGAGACTTGAAGCTGTCAGCCAAGCAGAAGTCAATACAGCAACAGTTCTGCTCTGCCCCGGGGCTGCACAGCAGGAAGGACCCCATGCCCGCCTCAGGCTTTAGGAACTGACACTGTCTGGACCAGAGTCCTACAGACCTTTTGAATTTTTCAGTGGTGGCAGTTGGTCTAATTACATAAGTTAAAGGAAAAAAAAAGAATTCTTGTCTAGATACTCAAAATTCCCCTGTGGTTACATCAATACTATAGCCACTTCACAAAAAAAGTCGTTAGAGGGCATTCATGTCACATTATTCCTAAATTGTTAATTTTTACATGTGCACTCAATGAGGTGTTCCAAAACCATCTGAGATGAAAACAGGCAAGATGGTTTTAGTAACATATGGGTCCTTAAAACTTGCAGTTCTTGGTAGAGAAATGGGTGCTGTCATTGAAAGCTTGAGATTAATTTTGAAAATGAAATTCAGCCTTCCCTCTGTAAACTACTACTGGTTTATTTCATTTCAGGTGATCTTCAGGAAGCTAAGAAGTTTCTAGCCAAAATGAAATATTTTGCAAACTTAGAGGATAAAGTGAAGCACAAGAAGATCCCTTCCTGATACTGCTTCCTTTACTGCTAAGAGTTAATGTTATTTTCAATTAAACAGCTGATTTAGTTACCAAAAAATGGTGTTTGCTTCCTACGTTTTCATTAAAAGCTTTAATTCTGAGAGAAGGAAGATAAACCAGTGCTTACCGTGGCACTTACTGTGACAGATGGAACTGGGTAATGCCTGCAAGAGGAACAGAGGCGTAGTGAGGCAGGACAGCTGTTCTGGGAGCTGCGGGTACGGAAACCACTACCAGTGAGGCACACAAGCACCATATGTAATTAATATTTCTTACTTTTTGACTACTAAACTATGAAGAACTTATTTTCAGTTGAGAGTCCTGGCCAAAATGCTGGGGACAAAGCAGAAAGCTCCCTCAGTAGAACATGCCCAAGGAGACTGCAGAGAGCCTGAAGGACCTGTCAGACCAGCTAGAGAAGCCTGTAAAGGTGAAAAGTATTTCATTCCTATCGTCCATCTTCTCTGCTGCTTGGTGCTTTTTGTGATCTCTGTCTGCAGGGAAGTGCCCTTCAGAACGAGAAGTAGTTTTACCCTGTTGCACAGTTTGAAATGTTAAGATGACAGGTTAGGACAAAAAAATAAACCCAAACTCAAACCCCAGAAACTGCTTTATTAGTACCCTTTTGGGAAACAAGTCTTTATAATAGGAGTTTATTACAAATAACAGTAATTCAGAGAGGTGCTGTACTGTTTGTGTACAGTCACAGTGGTAGGAGTAGATGAGGAATATCCTTAAATCTTTGAAAGGTTATTTAAGTGAAAAATGGCAACTCAATACCCCAATATGTATAAAAACATAAAGTATAAAATCGGTTTCTCAGTAGGTCGGTTCTTGTTTGGCTTTTAACGCCCCAGAGTATTTTATTCAGTAAAGCTTTAACATTTGCTTGATTACTTATATCTGAAGAAGAGCTACTGAATTACAGACAAAGCTGCCAGGGGGAGGAATTCCTTGAACACCCTCTCCTGGCATTTCTGCATCCCTACATCAAGCGTATCTAAACATCAAACCTTCTAGGTATAATATGTTGTGAACTGCATTTCAGCAATATATGTTTTAACAGCATTTCAGAAAGATTAACTTGCCTTTAATGAGACCTCCACTAAATACACAGGAAGATTTAATAAGCTACTTGCTCATGGTATTACACTGCTGATTTAGGAGACGCTGCTCATCATTCTCATTGAAGTTTTGTTACAGCTGTGAAATTACACAGATTTTTGTTTTTAAATTCATCATACAGTTGTCTTCTTTCAGAAAGATCTGTTTCCTTTTTTTTGGTGTTTCTTCCAAAATTAAGCTTGTGAAATTCCTTTTTGATTTCCAGAAAAGATTTGTTTTTGGTCTCAGGAATTACAAGGAAGACAAAGGCAGCAACTAAGGAGCACTCCAGTAAGAACACCAGGAAACAATAATGTTTCAGTCCATTCTGAAAACAAAGTTTATTTGATTGCAACATATTTCAGGTGTAACAGTGGGTTTTGGAAGATAAAGAGCTTTTTCTCTCCATTCACACCTAACACTGCTGCTCAGATGTTTTTAATACAAAGACATTCAACCTATCCTTATTTTACATGTAACTACTTTTTTCTAATTTTTTTTCATTTAGATAAAAGGCTATCAAGTGCCAGGTAATACACTTTTACTAAAAAAACCCACCAAAACCACAAAAGACCCAAACCTTTAAACACACTAAACAATTCACAATGTAATGGCAAGTCAGTATTTGCTACTTAACTGTTGCATATCTTAAGATACGATTTATCTTTTTCTGAATGTTTGTTAGTATTTTTCAACGCTATACATTGACAAAACCCAATTATCTTGTTGAGAAGCAGAGTTCAACAAGAAAGGGCTGTCAGATCAAGATGCCCTGCTGTGTGCTGTCACTGTCTTGCTCTCAAAGTGCTAAAACTGAAAATACGCAGCTAGAAATGAAAGACTGTCCTGCTTTTTCTAATCATTTCCTGATCACAGAACCCCGGTCAGCGAGTTCAGGGGTGTGAACCACTACCCCCAGGTACTACTACTACTTTACTTTGACATAAAAGCACAAGGCACTGTTAAGAAATTTGCTAGTTCAATCTCAATAGCTGACCTAAGTTTTTCTAGTTTTGATATCCTCTCCATTTTCTTTCATCTGAACATGAAAGTTACCCCCAAGCATTCCTTACAATTTTCATTTATCATGTTTTATTATTTTTTGTTGGTGTCTATAAAGTATTTTAAGAGGGACTGAATCTAGTTACACTGGGCTGAGGGGTAGCGTGCTTCCTATGTTTAAGTGTTACTGCGCCAGAAAAAACGATCTGATGGAACCCGAGTAGAAGATTAAATGGGAGGTGAGGCAATCAGGAAAGCGTTACATGTACTTACCACTATAAAGGGAAAGAGCATTCCAATTGTGAAGAAACTAATCCAACTAATAGTCCCTCCTATCATGTAGGCAGCAGGCCGTGAAGACTGTACAAATAACTCAGCTGTCAGGGTGTTTGTTATGCCACCTGGGGAAGGTCAGAAACAGAGTAGATTATTGTGCTCAGTGTCCATTTGCACTATTTCCAGAAAAACTGAGTTGCTTTTGAATATGCCACTAGCTGATCTGATGCTATAAAAAAAAACCCCAACAAACACTGGCACAGTTTTGGATCTACACCCACTAGTAAGTGTCCTGCCAAGCAGCCCTATTTCAGCAGCGCTGCTCAGGAGCAAGGGCACCTTTAAAGGCCTGACAGGATTTTTCTTGCTTCTTGTATCACTGGACCAGCCCCAAGGCCAGAACCGAGCCCCCTCCCGCGTCGCTGGCCCCGAGGAAGGGGCAGGTGAGCCCCAGTTCCATGGACGGGCTCAGGGCCTCCTCGGGCAGCGCAGCGGCCACCCAGGGACATCACGGCACCCACAACCTCCCTGCTGTGCACTACCTGGTCCCAGCCCAAAGCTCAAGATGAAGGCAAATATAGACGCCATGCTCACGTAAGGCACCCACGAGTACAGATCCTGGAACAGAAGAGAACAAGGAGATTTGGTTCAGATTTTGATAATCCAGTTTTACAAGTCTGGTTTAACAGCTACATCTCCTTTTGCTATTTTATTGCAACTAAGACCAATAGTCATTCACAGCTGTTTGTTTACAGCTGATTTATTTACAGTATTGCTTCAAAGAAATTAGATATTTAATAATTTATACTAAATGGGGTCTAGTACTTCTGTCAAGATTTATAATTAGTCCTCCAAGGCTAAAAATCTACACGAATATTGAACATAATTATGTGGTTTTACTAGTTTGCCTGAGCTGATTTTGGAGTTTTTACACTGAGCCCATGAGTTAGCTGTCATTAAGGACTTTCACAGCATGAACAGACTTCTCACAGTATTTATGTTTGCATAAATTGCAGTAGTGCATCGAAGAAACATCAGGACTGCTAGACCCATGTAGAACTAGGTGCATAGTAAGACCAAGCCTAAGCTTGAAATCCCATTATTTAAAAGCAAACCAAGACATTTACAGAAGTTGTAATAAAATAATTAAACCTAGGCCTCCGCCTAACAGCTGGCTCACTCAACTCCTCGCCTGGCCCAGCTCTGCTCCGGCCAGACGCTACCGCCAAGCCAGTGCCAGCTCTGCCCTCCAGCCGTGCCGCGGGACCCGGGACCCCACCTGCGCCACAAAGGGTCTGTGGGCACCCAGACACTGACTAAGTCGAATTGCTTGCTGTTGGAGCTACACCTACATCCTCTTGCTCAGATTACCCAGAGGTGATGATAAATACTTAGCGTGGTGCAGCCTGCAAGCCCAGAGACAGATCTGAGGTCCGTGGGCTGCCCCCTTTGAGCTGATGTGGTACACAGAACCATTTACAATCCATCTCTTTGTACTACATCAAAAAGCGAGGCAGGATGTTGTCTTCACATGATAAATTTACAGCACTGTCAGTATTTCTAGTGAGTTTCCAATAGTTTTTTTTTCAATTTAAACTTAATGGATTTAAGTGTCTTTCGAATTTCAGCATCTTTACTGTACTTCTTGTTTTACTGTTTGCCTTTAAGTGGACTCTGATGCTTAATATCATTGCTATGTAGTATTTAATCCTAAAATTACTTTAAAAGCTAGAATAAATGCTGTTTTGTCATCACCTAAGTTCTGTCAGAATTAAATGCAGCTGCAGCTTTAAGACAAATACATGATCAAATCTTAGCTGAGGGGATTCTCTTATTTTAGGGAAATCCAGCTGCAGAACTGATCAAATCTTCCAATTACTGTCACTTTTTACACTGCTGTTTATGCAGCTCTTATCTTCCAGCTTCTTTTGAGTGTCACACATTTTCACTCCCTATAGTCATATCATGTAATACAAATGAGTTCTTCTGTACACCTGGTAAGTCAGAGAGAAGGTTAAAACAATGCTCCAAAGGGTCATAAGGAGATAACCCCCAATTATGAGGTATCTTCGTCCCACGTAGTCTATCAGTAAACCCTGTGGACAAGACATAATGTCACTATATTGATCTTGTATTTACCCATGCTCTTCAAGAAGCAGCATTACTCTACATCAGGAGGTAAAATAAACTCTTACTTACACAGGTGAGGGCTGTGAGGCACTCACAAGCTCCAGTGCCAAGTGTCACATACGGGATTTTTTCAGCTGAGATCCCAGCTTGTTCAAAAATGTAAGTCGCATAGAAGTAAATCTGCAACAGAAAAAAAGAAAAAAAAAATAACGGAGCGTTCCTTGCAGTTAAATCATCGGCTGGAAACCAGGTCAAGTTCATACTAAACACACAGCTCAATGTACTTTATATTGGGAGTTATTAATTTGACATGAACAGCAAGAAAAATCCATTAAATACATGTCTAGGTAAATATACCACTATCATAAAAGCAAATATAATTATTCAACTTACCAAAAATACCACTTCACATTCCTAAACCACACACAATAGGATAAGCTAATCCACCGTTATTTACTTTTTCAAAAAGAATGTAAACATAAGTATTAGGTCATTTTGAAAATAAATTTACATGCCAGACACATAAAAACAACAAAAAAAAATGAAAAAAAGAAACAGAAGTAATACAAAAATATCCTTTCCCCACTTATCCCATTTCTCCGAGCTGCATGGAGTTTTTGTGTTAATAAAAGGTTGAAAAACAGATGGAAATTAATTAATTATTTCAGCTGTTTGTACACATGAAATCTTACAGCGTTTATCCCACTGAGCTGTTGGCCCATAGTCATCACAATCACAGAAATGAGCTGCCATCGCACACCACGGTCAGAGAACAACTGCCAGGGCTTCTTGGGTTCCTCCCCATCTAAGGCAGAATGCTCCTGCTGGATGTCTTCCATCTCCTTTCCATACTCTGAAGAACCATGAAATCGTTTCAAAGCTAAAAAAGAAGAAAATAAACTCTCTTTTGTTTACCTATTGACCACAACTTCTGGAGAATAATCTCTTTCCATAATGACACGGCTTTTGGTAGAGTATTAAAAATTTCTGCTCTAGAAAGCTGGGAATTAAGTAATTTGCTTTCTGACTTGTTTTTGGCTTGCTTGTTTTCCAATATTTTTTGCTACGGTGTATTTGGAGATTTCAGTGGCATTACTTTGCTTTTTTTTTTTTTTAGATGAGTATCTGACTTGGAAATATTTTTCTTGGTGAGTATTTCAAGTGTAAGTTTCCAGCTACTTATGCTGTCTCCTTTTTAATACATTATTTTTTATTATTTCTTACAAGAAAAGTACAACAGTAACACCGAATGAAAGAAAATATTTGATATAACTTATACTTAATCTGTGACATAACCTGAGAAATGAACAGGTGAAATGAAGAGGTGAAATAGTTCAGGTATGTTACTTCATCCAAGAGAAAAACTATGAAACCTTAAGAGATTTCATTAGAAAGTAACAAAACTTGAATATATTTGAAATGACATAAGACAGTTCTGTTCACAATCCATTACAGACTCCCAAGTTCCACAATCCCTTTTGCCATATAAGCTCACTGAAGGAAAAACAAGGGCTGAAAAGCACCAGGTGATATACCTGTGCTGTGCTGGTAAAGATAAAAGGAGAATCTGGAACCTGATATACTCACTGTACCCTCCTGAAGACTCAAAGTATAAATGCTGTAAATTACCTTTGGCACAGCTCAGCTCATCTCCTCTGTCAATAAGAAGATATCTGGGACTTTCAGGAAACCACGGGAGGAATAAAAGTTGGGCAAATGCTGGGAAACAGCTGCTGGATAGCAACAGAGGCCAGTAGGTTTCTCCACCTAAGAATTCCCTGGGAAAGGTGTGGGGGGAAAAAAAAAAAAAAGTAGTAATTAGCTATTGTTAACTATTCGGAAAACTTTTGGGAGAAAGATGTTTGTCCTTCGAGGAAAGTCCCCTTGTGAACAGTTACCCACATCCTGCGAACATCAGCAGAAAGAGGCTGGGAAAGTATTTTCCAGCCACTCTGAAATCAGGTTCCATTCAGGAAGAGACAAGCAACACCACGGTACTGCTGCTTATCGCTGCGTTGGTCCCAAGCACTATTGCCAGGTTTGCCAAAGCTGCGTTTTCTACCAATGCAGGAAAGGAAAAGCACATGGACTTCACCTTAAGGCTGGCAGCGGCATTTGCTTTTGAGAATCATTCAGTAATTTAGGCTAGAAAGGAACTCGGGAAGTCATGATTCCACCTCCCATTCAAAGCTGATCTGACAGCATTTATGTAATTCTATTACACTGAAAGGAATCATTAAAACTGGTACAGTTAGAACCCGCAGGATGAGATGTTGTATGCAAACCTGTCACAATAATGTATTGCACTTTAAATGACCCTAATTATGCAGTCCGAAGTTTATATTTTACTTTGTAGCACTTCACACCTGAATTACCTAGCAAAATCAGTTAATTCAGAAGCTAGTAACATGGAAAAAGAAAAGAGAAGTCCAAGTGCTTTTGGTATAGGGACAGGGGAAAAATAGATAATGTGCACTTACTTGGGGTACAACCAGTTGCTCTTAAGGCAGTGGAAAGCTTCTAGCAGACTTCATGAGAGAAGCTTTTTATCCTGAGGTTGTGCAGTCTCTGTTCTTGGAACTCTTTAAGATCCAACTGGATAAAGTCCCTAGCAACTTCATCTGATCTCACAAGGGACAAAACCAGCAGTAGTGCTACAATACAGAATTTGCGAGTCCTTTGCTCTCAAATCCTGTCTTACGAATGTCCACTGTCTCCAGCAAGAAACTGGCAGGAAATATGAACTCAGCATAAATGTGCCCATTTTACTGATGGTGTTCTGGCTGCCCCATCTAAGCACTTCTCTGGGGAGACAGCACAGACGTAGGCGTAGGAATAAGGTGACAAAAGCAGGGTTTTCTTCCTACAGGTAGACCTGTGTGAAGCTGATTCACTAATGCTACAATGGCCTCAATGTTTTGCAAGGAGCGGAAGGGAACTGGAATTCTTTACATGCAAGTAATGTAAGGCAGGAAAAAAAATGCATTTCTAACCTCAAACCAATTATTTGTCCTGTCAGAATCCCTCCGGTCAGAAAGATGGAAGTCCCCATGGCCATGCCACCTCTAAGATGTTTTGGGGCTACCTCACCAATATACAGAGGCTGCACACAGATCCCAATACCTACGAGTAAGTAGAAAAACATTTTCCTATTAATAGATTTTGCTTTGAAAAGAGTTACCGAACCAAAACATGTAGGAAATCAGACTTAGTTAACTTATTAATTTAGCTGCCTTCAGATTCCAAGTTAGATTACAGAACATTTTTGTCATCATATCTACAAAGCAGCAAACACATATCAGACCAGCTAAAGAAGCAGCAGTAACAGTAATTTATCAGTCACCACAGTTTACTGAAAGTAGAAATAGGAAATGATTCACCTGAATTTATGCCAATCAAAAATCTTCCAGCAATCAGTAACTCAAACAATCCTGTAGGAAAACTGATGCCCATTAAAATGGAGGCCAGTATTGCTACAATATTATTCATCAAAAGAGCTCCTTTCCTAAAGAGGAGGGGGAAAAACAAACACCAACATCATTAAGAAAATCTGCAGTAACACCTTTTTTTAAGTTTTCCTTTCTGGTAATATGGAAAAAAACCATGCTTTCTGCTGAAGAAACATGCTATTCACTGGAAATCCAGATATCCGATACAGCTATTCCTTATATTTTAAAAAGGTCTAAACAGAAGGATAACGCATAAATATGACAGAAGTGCCCGACAAGGCAGGAGTGGGGTTTCGTTCCTTTATGCTTTATCTACACAGAATGTGCACGAACTGTTACAGATTATGCAGCACGTCCTTACTGGCAAGAAGGCTGCAAACGTGTATGGGGGACCTGTGTTTCCCACCATACAGCATCTGCACATGCCTACTTAGATTTCAACAAATGTAATGGATAGACTGGAAGGCTGTACTTCAGGGTTCATCTTTTAAAGTCACATTGGTACAAACTGTAAAATTCTACCAGAGAACTCTGCTTTGAAGTGAAAAACATCTAAATTCACCAAAGGTACATTTTCCTCCGCTCTTTTTCCCCTTGTTTACTTTATAGCCCAGTGAGAAAGTAGGAAAAGAAAACATGCTGCTATAACTCACCTGCCTAGCCGAATCGCCATGCTGCCTCCAATAAAGGCTCCACACAGGCCTCCAAGTGAAAATACAGAAGCAATGACAGACCAAAGAAAAGTCAGCAAGTCTGGACTTAGTTCCTTGTGATAACGACTGGTCCAGGTTTCATTTAAGAACCTGTGTATATGCTGCAGTAGAAAATGATGAATGTGTAGCATTATGCATGGCCCAACAGCGCGGCACTATAAATAACTTTCACCTCAGCCTGAAAACCAATACTGGGAGCTAACATGATACCATCTTAGCTGGTGTTTTGGTTTTGTATTACCATTTCCTACGCCCCATACATCTCAGACTGCCGAGCAGCTTTGCTTTCATATCCTATCCCTGGAGAGGCTGTGTTCCACTAGAGGGGAAACACAACCTGCCCACACTGCTCCAGAAGAGCACTGAGGTCCTTCTAAATGAAGGGGGGGACAAGGTGGATGAGTAGGTTCTACTGTCTTTTAGGAACATCTCAGAGCACAGAGGTCTCACATAACCTAAAAAAATTTTACTGTCAGAAGACTCATTCTGATGCTCGATTTAAATCTTCCTGACTTAGCGCCATCCAACAACCCATAGTAAAATCGCTTTCTGCAACTCTAATATTTCTCTACCTTTCTTACCGTATAAATGTGTCAAAACTTTTAAACTGTCATTTTAGATGCTTTGTTTCCTAACATTTGTCTTGCTAAACTCTTGAACTGACATGTATCTGTAATTAGAGGCTCCCATTCTTAGCCAGCAAACAAAGACTTAACAGAAGAACAAACTTGCTGGACTCTCCCTCTACTTCTAGCATATTACATGTTCTTTCACAAACAGCTCATTTTAAACTTTGTAAAAAGCATACAATGTTGTAGCAAATTCAGCCTTCACAGTTTCACAAGAAAATAAATCAGCTGACAGCAGAAAATTATACCCACCACTTTCACAAGACCATCTGCTTAGATCCTCGAGTCATCCACAAAATATGCAGAATCCTCAAGGCCACGGCAATGGATAAAAAAATAACAAGTAGGTGAAGATACCTACAAGACACTCAGACACTACAGATGCAACTTTCTGACTCTCTAAGGTCTTCCTCAGTAAGCTGCCTCGTGATGGACAACTGTAACCCTCCTTTCTCCCCGTTACCCAGCAAGAGGACGCAAGCGAATGGTTCACGGCTGCGTCAGGGAGGTTTAAACTTGACATTAGGAGAAACAGTGGTGACACCTTACAGAGAGGGTGATCAAACCCTCAACAGGCTTCCTAGATAAGTGGCCAATGCCCCCACCCTGTCTGCGTTCATAAGAGGCATTTGGACAATGCCCTTAATCATCTGCTCTAACTTGTGGCCAGCCATGATATGGTGGGGCAGCCAGACTAGATGATCACTGTAGGCCCCTTCCAACTGAAAATGTTCTCTTCCGGTCTTAATGTTCTGGGCTATGGTAGTCAAAGGTGTAACTGGAAGAGATTACTTATCCATTCATTCAGTTAATCCTTCTAAACCACTTTAACAGGTATTTATGTTGCATATCTGACACAGAATACCTCTAATGGGAGGTACTCACAAACAAATCCACATGAAACCATTTTGGAAATCAACCAGAATCCTCCACAGGAGAGCAATCCTGCTTTGGTTCCACTGCAATCGCAGTACAAGTGCCTCTGGCCTCTTGGCCAGCCAGCCAGGATACCTACACCACCCCAAAACAACCTGCACACAAGAGACAGCATTTTACCTGGGTGGGTGCATTGATAATGGAAACATTATACCCATACTGGAAGGTCCCTCCGATTCCAACAGCACAAACAGCCAGAAACAAGGTCCAGCTGGGGAACTAGAGAACAGAAGAGAGAACAGGCATGAAGAGAGAGAGAGGGCCTTGAACCCACATGCATATATTATCTAGGAGAAAATCACAGTGAAATATATAATGATTTTAGCTTTGAACACTGAAAGTATTTGTTGAGAAAACTACATAAACTCTCCAACACCTGCAGCAGGAGAAACATTTCACACTGACTTTGGCCACAATCACTAAGGTCTGTGAGAGATGCGACAAGCATCCAGACTAAGCACAGGCGACACAACCACAGCACTGCCGACAGCAACTCACTGACCTTTGTCAATGCTTTCTGTGTGAACCACGCTGCTCATGGTGTCTATTTTCTATGAAAGAACGTTATGAGTGGTTATGTTTGATTTTAAAGGTCCAATGGTTCAGTGTAAGAATTAACCATATCCCAGTTTCTGGCTCACATTTCATCTAAGATGTGAGAAATAATAACAATATTTTATTTCCCCTGGCAAGTCCCTAAATTGATTACCAGATGTCTGCAAGTTAGCAGGTACTAAACCTTAAATCAAAACACTTTTTTCACCATTAACAGTATTCAATCTAAACTTCATTGGCATGTATTTTTCAATTTTCCAATATTGATTAACTAGTTACGTCCCTAAATCAGTATTTAGGAACTAAAATTTACTTCAACTCAGACGTTTTAAGGTCAACAGAAACCACTATTATGATACATTCAATCTCAAGAGAGTCTAATTGGTCATAAAACATTACACTCAGGATGAGGCCTCTGGGCCAGAGAAAATCTCTAGAGGTTTATACAGTGTCTGGCTTTCTGATGGGATGCTTCCCGGCTCTACTGTTTATTGAATATGACAGTACTAAAAATAGCAGCCAGTTCAAATGTTTCACAACCCTCTCAGTAAAAATCAGGTCCTAGTTTCATCACATAGCATCTTTTATGCCCAACTTCAGCTGCACCCAATAATGTCTCCTATATTAAAGGCATTTCTGTGATCACATTCCATCTTCCTTCACAGATGAAGACCGTATATAATTTTTTTTTTTATAACCTTGTACTCCCTAAATTTCTCATTGTAAGGTATGCAGACTAGTTCATCGTTCTCATTCTTGGTCCAGTTCCCAGAAATGGTGAGTTATTCCAGATGCTCCACTGTACTCTGAAAGAGCTGTGTCTTTTGTGAAGATACTTCTTCAAAGCTTCCCCATTCAGAAGTCAAAATTGATCTTATTACAGTAAAATGCATTTAATATTTTCTTATGGTTTCCTGAGAATAAACTGTTTCGCTGAACAAATTTCTCTGAAGAGTAATAAATAAGGGCTGCAGCAAGTATGGTAGAAAAAAACTAGAGGTGGTAAATAAAGACGCTGCACACTCCGACCTTTCTATTAACCAAATACTGCCAGTCAGTGTGTTTTGTGTGTCGAATGGCTACAACCTGGAATCTAGAACAGACAGAAGAGAAACAAAAGCTCCCAGAATCATTAACATACATCACAATTTATGTTTTGTTACGACAGCTCTGTTCCTCCTGCCCAAATCAGTCAGCTCGTTACAGTAACGTGTTACAGTGGAGTTTGGGCCCCGATTTCTTAAGAGTGTGGACAACAGCCTTATCTGTTCTGTGAGTTACTTAACTCCTGGCAGCTTATAAGCACTTTCACCTCATTTTAGAGCCATGCCACAAACCAGATTCAGTTTATATTTAATGTGAAACACAAGAATAAAAAAATGTGTGTTTACAGTCACTATTTTGTAACACGGCAGGGCGTCTAAGGAAAACACAGAACTTCACAAGCCTGATCGTCTTTTTGAAGTAAACAGGAAACAATTGGAAATTTTCACATCCGTGCATCACTTAAAGCTACAAACTCCGCCGGGCTCCACACGGCCCGCAGAGGCCGAGACAGCTCCGCTTACCTTGGCGTGCGCGCTAAAGCCTCCGAGCAGGGGCCGGTACTCCATCCCGAGTACGGGCTGGCTTTGATTTCCTTGGCAAAAATTTAGTAAACTACACTACAGGAATAAAAGGCGCCAAAGAAATGAAGTTAATTTGTATTAAAACACAGGCTCTTCCATTTCCAGCCACGGGGATTCTTCTCAACGGTTGCCTTTTTTTTAGGACAGAAGCGTCCAACGCCCGTGAGGCACCAGAGGGCCGCGGGGGCCCCGCCGCCCCCCGCCAGCGCTCAGCGCCCCCCGCCCGCCCGCGCCGTTACCTTCCGCTCCGGTGACATCGCTCGTAACAAAGTGGTCATTTATTGTCCAAACTTCCCGCTCCCTTCACAGCTGGTGACATACTACAACTGTTGCTCTTAGCTGCAAGTGAAATTTTAAAAGGGAGGAAAATACTGTCTGAAAAATCTCAGCTTCACTGAAAGACGCTAAATAACCATTTTGTTTTTTTCTGCAGTGTCTCTGTTCGCTGTGGAAAGAAGCATAAGCTAGAAGAAGAGGCAGAAGGGTAAATTAATTTGTCTTTTATAGCCTGAAAAATCTTAATGTTCTTTTTGTTTTCTGTAAAGATTCGAGCACATCTCGCCTACAACATACACAGGAAGGGCACTTCTATCGTGGTTTCCATTTGGAACTCTTCCCCTGAAGTGCACATGAGCTCAAATCCATTTCAGTTACCTCATTAATTGTGTAGCACTGATATTCTTGCATGGTACCCACATTTTAATAAGATCAGTGTTGATTTATTTTCTTTGTGAAGGTTATGTTTCCATAGTTTGTCAAATCTGTTGAAATGCATGTGACTTTATAACGTTTTTTTCCTGTAGAGTGGCACACTACTCTCTTGACAATTGTAAACTTATTTTGTTTCCTAGTTGTCCTGTGCGGAAGAAGAGACTGACAGGAGCCAAAAATTGTCCTTTGAACCCCAGCCCTGAAGAATGGATTCTCTGTGCAGGTCAGCAGGCAGCTGGGGAGGTAGCAAGTCAGTATGGTGGCAGCGGTCCTGAAACTGCCATGTTAGAAATTCCCTGTGAAGAAATGGATCAGACAATGGGGGAACAGCAATGCGAGGTTGCTCGCAGGAAGCTTCAGGAAATTGAGGACAGGTAAATGCAGGGATCGAGTAGACTGGCTTTGCTGAGCTTTCCCTTTTTGGTGGGCATTAAGGGGTAAATCTAGCACTTAGCAGCGTGGTAACGTTGCTGTAAGCCTGAGATGAACCTTCTGTTCAAGTGATTTGTTTTTAGGCTGCCTGTGGCCCTGTGAGTCTCGGGGCTGATACTATGAAATTGAGGGTGCTAGAGCAAGAGATGCTGAATAAATAACCAACTTTTCACGATCATTATGCAGCATCAGTATACCCTAATGGGGTTTTATGCTCCTTTGTGAGTATCCAGAGCTCAAATTTTAACTGACGGTATCTGTCAGATGAGCTCGGTGTTTTTCAACCAACTGCAGCTTGTTCTGTGATTGATAATTCTAAATGCTCAAGATAGATGTGAATTTGCCAGTGCAGAGAATGGCATGAACCAGAGCAAGCTCTCTGCACATATGCAGTAAGACTGAGGTTCATCTTGATGTTAATTACCAGATACTGTTAAGTACCAGGTTGATACTGGGGTAACGGGGTGGCTATGGGCAGTCTGTTGCCATCGTTTAATAAATGTGCTGTGCCTTCTTGCCTTTGAAAGATTTCTGGGAATGTCATGTGTATTTATCAGTCGATTGCAGTTGAGATAGTATTCCAGAATATCTAAAATGACCACTGCAGACAGTTATTAGAAAAGCCAAAAGTTATATAAATTATAAAACTAGATTTTTTTTTAGATGATTACTCTATAGGTGATGCATGAAGGGAAGGAAGGTACTGTTAGATTATTTTATTTTTTCATGGGTAAATCAGAGTAGTGATACATCTTTATTATCTGGCTATATCTGTGTTACAAAGTCTGCTTTGGACCTCTCAGAGGATTGCTCCCCGCCCTTCTCAGCTACCCTGTTAAATTTTCTTTAAGAGGTTTACAAAAACAAAGGAGAGACCTCCAGTTTCTTCTAAACACTTCAACTTTTTGTGCCGTTTTAACCTCTGAGAAGTTGGTGCAGTGTCATTAAAGGTTAAGAACTGTATTCAGTAGCTTTTCAACAATTCTCAAAGTTAAGATGCGGGGAGTTGAGCGGGCGAAGCTGCCGCACAACTGAGACTCGCTCTTGTGACCCAATCATGGTGTCCCTGCAAGTGAACTTGTTTCTTCCTCTCAGCGTGTGTCTCGCTGCGCACCGCTGGGCGGTGCAGGGTGACACAGGGAGCGCAGGTACCAGAAGTGGCACGGCTGCTTGAGCGGCTTCTGTGGCAACAGTCATTCCTAGGGTGTGCTGGCCCCAGGGACTCGTGTTAACGTGGCCCCGCTGCTTCTGGTACCTGGCCTCGGTCAGATGCCTGCACGTGGATTGACTGTAGTCTGCAGTGGATGTGCCTGTTAACTATGCTCAATAGTGTTTATCTCCCTCTTCCCCCTCCGTTCCTAGGATAATTGATGAAGATGAGGAAGTTCATGCTGATGGAAATGTTAGCAATCTGCCCACTCTTATCCTGTCAGATACCCTTAAAAAAGGGATGAAGAGGGATTTTGGTGAAGTCCTGACAAAGAAAATAATAGAATCTATGTAAGTTCTGGAGGAAATCATGGTGCTATGTAGCTAACACATGCAAATGAAAAGAGAGACCCAGTCTCATATTTGTGGAGATGTCCTTAATTACTGCATGACTCAGCCAATGTTGTGTAACAGACCATCTATTTGGTCAAAAGTAGGAAAAATCCTGGTGTAAAAGAGAAGTGTAAATGTAGTGGTCATCAAGCTGTCTGTTTTGTACTTCTCATTTATACAGTGAGATTTGTTGAATAAACCATTATATCTTGATTTTTATGTATGTGAGTTTCCAAAAGAAGGAGGTCATAAAGTGTGACTGACGGTGGTCATCAAGTTTGGTGCAAAAGAAAAGAAAGAAAATACAGGGTTAGAACTAGAAGTAATGGAACTAGTTAAGGGAGAGGAAATAGAGGGGAGGAAAAAAACCCAAAACAAACCACCATCACCAAAAAAAAAACCCAACCCAGTCTGTGAATTCTGGAATGTAGTTCCAGGCTAGCACAGAAGATGAAGATACTCACTGGTCTTCTGCATTTAATAGTTGTGGTCAGAGAACTTAAATTTAACTGGGACTCCATCCCTTCTAGGAGCCGTCCTTCTATGGAGCTGGTGCTTTGGAAACCTCTTCCTGAATTTCTCACAGATAAACTGAAGTCCGTTTCTGTTAAGAACTTCAAGCAGCAGAGTACGGAAGGGTGTCAGGCTAAGCAGTCAACATCAAGAGCTGCTTTTGACCCACAGACTGACACATTCCTTGAATCACAACAGACTGCCATGTCTCCAGACCCCTACGCTAGTCTGGGAATCTCTGGGTGTGCCGAAGAAGAAATGGAGTTGTAGATGCTAGATTTGAGTCTGGAAGTGGTGAGCTTCTGATGGTTTTTGTTGCTGTTTTTTGATTCCCTCTTTCTTTCTGGTTTGATGTGTGAATCTGAAGTTTTATTATTTGTTTTTGTTTTTCCTACTAACAATCATAACGATGTGGATTGGCCAGATACAACTTAAGGAAACTGAAAAAACCCTCAAGATTTCTATACTCCGGTCTGTTAAATATTCTTGTTCTTACTGAGAAGGTAATCCGGAAGCCTTTGGAACAAGGAAGTAGATTTCCATCTTGCTTAATGGTGAAATATCCTCTTAATTGTCCTTGGTGAAGTATAAAATCCAAATACTGAATGTAACTGTGGCTTAAGCCACATCTTTCACTTACTGAGCCATTAAGACTTCAGTGCTCATACTATGTGTAGTCAGTTTAACTCAAATTACAAAAAGGTATGGAAAGGAAGAAGTACTTTTGAGTCTAGTCACAGATAGAAAAGCAATCCCTAGGGAAGTACAGCTTTTCACACTATTTCATCTGTGGCTGGTTTGTACTTGATGTAAACTCAACTGTAGAAATTACACCTTCTGCAGCGTGGTAGGGAAGGAATGTGATAGCTGAGCATAAGCCTCTTGCTTTGTAGAAAGTGAAACCGGCTACTGAATTGCAAGATACCTACTAACTTTGGTCATCTTTTGTTCATTGGCTCTTAAATGGTGTTTGTGGGGTTTGATGCCCCTCTCCCCAAAGGACATGAAGCCTGAAGGAAAGTGGTTCTCAGCCAGTTGATTCACATTTTACATTGTGCTGTGATTCTTTGTGTGCATCGAGTTGGAAAGTCAGTTGAAGACAGTGTAATTTTTGATTAAATAAATCGCATCCTTTTAGTTTTGAAAGCATGGTAAGTAAATCAGCTAACAGGGAGATGATTTTCTTCCGTAAAGAGGGTCAAATGCTGATTATCGCCAGAACCAAGTCCCAAACTTTGGGACTGCTGGCATTGGTGGTGAGGTAAAGAAGATGCTTGCCATCTTCCTGAGGAAATCTAGGCTTAAAATTTAAGTCAGACCATGTGCCATTAACATAACGTCACGTAGTTGATACAGACATATGCCAAAATAAGTTTCTCCCCTGCTTAGTGTGTTAAAGAGAGGGATCCTCCGTGAGTTACTGCTTGGACCTTTCCTCAGTGCACAGCAGTTCCATTATGCTTAAAACCCTTAAGGCAGAGAATCTTCTGTTATTGAGTCTTGAGCTTTCTCAGAGATAGCTGTATTGAGGCTTTTTGTAAGAAATTCCTTTCTACGTAATAGGTTCTGTTCTACTCTTAGCATCCCAGCCTGTTTTTGACATCTTGCTAACATAAAGGAGCAAGTACACAGTAATGCAGCTGTTTGCTTAAGAAAAATCTACTCTTCCTTTGCACAGCTAATTGATAAACCTTGTGATGATATTTTTCCCTGTTGAATAACCCATAGTCAATAGTTTAAAATCAAGCTTCTCTTTTTGCAGTCATCCTTTCTTTTTCTTTTGGCTGACAGCAGAAGCTTAGTTCAAAAGATAGCCCTATTTGTTAAATCCTGTCTATCTTGCTGCTCTTGTCGAAGGTTGTGTGAAATTTGCTGTCTCTTGCTAAAACATTTCAGAGCTTCCCTAAAAACATTCCAACATTTGAATAGGTATTACTCTGGAAACCAGCGTATAACTTTACCATTCTGGAACTTTTATTAAATTGGAGAACATGTGCAGCTTTATCTTGCTATCATGTCTAATTTCATTTCAGGGTCTGCTATAAATCTCTTGTAT